CTCTTAGGTTGAGGTAGATTTTTATATGTTTCATATCACTGTAAGTGCTTGGCACAATTGTCTTAATATCTTCCAGAGCTACGAAAAGATGCCTCCTTACCAGGCACCAGTCAGTCCTTAAGTCTTTACTTGTTTGGCACAGATTTGAAGGTTATTTCCCCAAATGCCATTCATTATAAAAACTCATTTTCTTTCTATTCTGTTCTGTTCTATCCTGTGTCCTGAGGTTACGCCCTGTTGGTCAATCTAGCTTCATTTTTTTCCTGTGCCTCAGACACTTACTAGTTGTGTGACCCTAGGCAAGTCACTTCACCCTGTTTGCCTCAGTTCCTCATCTGTAAAATGAGCTGCAGAAGGAAATGGCATATCACTCCAGCATCTTTGCCAAGAAAACCCCAAATGGGGTCACCAAGAGTTGGACACAACTGACCAACACCACCATCTGTCTTAGAATGTGTTCATTGATAAAAATGTATCCATGATGACTGCTAAAATCTATCACTCTTACTGGGCCAACCATTCTGGAGAACAACTTGAAACCATACTCCAAGGGCTATAAGCTATGTATACCTTCTGATCCAGTAATGTCACTAATAGGTCTGTACATCAGAGAGATCAAGGAAAGAGGAAAAGGATCCACAGGCACAAACATACTTATAGCAGCTCTTTTTGTGGTGGGATAGAATTGTAAATGTGAGGTATAACTATCAATTGGGGAATAGCTGAACAAGTTGTGGCACGTGGTTATGATGGAATACTATTGTGCTTTAAGAAATGATGAGCAGGATGGTTTCAGAAAAACTTGGGAAGACTTATCTGAACTGATGCAAAGTGAAGGGAGCAGAACCAGGAGAACATCATACACAGTAACAGCAACATTGTAATGATGGTCAGCTGTGAAAGACTTAGCTACTCTAACCAATGCAACGATCCCAGACAATTCCAAAGAACCCACAACGAAAAATGCTGTCCACCTCCAGAGAACGAGCTGATGAACTCTGAGTACAGATCAAAGCATACTTTTTAACTTTCTTTATTTTTCTTGCCTTTTTTTTTGGCAGCATGACTAATATGGAAATATATTTTTCATGACTTCACATGTATGGTTGGTATCATATTGCTTGCCTTCTCAGTGGATGGGGGGAAGGGTGAGAGGGAGCTAATTAGGAGCTCAAAAATTAAAAAAAGTATAATTATTTAAAAAAATAAAATCTGTCACTCTTCCTGCTATATTGCTCTTTTTTTTTTAGGTGAGAAAATTGAGGTTGAGTGACTTGCCCAGAGTCACACAGCTAAGTAAGTGTTATGTGTCTGAGGCCAGATTTGAACTCGGGTCCTCCTGACTCCAGGGCCAGTGCTCTATCCACTGTGCCACCTAGCTGCCCCTATGTTGTTCTTTTTTTGTAGCTCACCATAAAGTGTAGACTCTTCTTTTCTGGTCCTGTAGATTATAATGTACAAGTCCCATTAGCAAATCAGTCAGTCAGTCCACTAGCATTTCTTAAGGGCTTATTATGGGCCAGGCACTGTGCTAAGCACTGAAATCAGTTCTTTGCCCCAATATAAATAAGACGGTGAACAAGTATCAGCTAAATCTTTTTTTGGGGGGGGGGAGGGGTTAGGCAATGAGGTTAAGTGACTTGCCCAAGGTCACACAGCTAGTAAGTGTTATGTGTCTGAGGCCGGATTTGAACTCAGGTCCTCCTGACTCCAGGGCCAGCGCTCTATCCACTGTGCCACTTAGCTGCCCTCTCAGCTAAATCTTTAAAGAAAAATAATTAATTCTAGAAAAAGAGACTATAGAGAATAAAGGCAAATATTTCTGAAGCATAAGTTGTTTTGTTGCTGGAAGCATCTTTAGAGATTATTTATTCCAACTTTAAATTTTTGAACTGATTTAAAAATGAGAAGATTTTAAAAAAAAAAACAACCCCAGTATTGCAGCTTTCCCACCAGGCTTCCTAACAGGAGATAGGGCAGATGGGCATTCTATCTGGGCTACAGTGGCTCTGCTCCTCTCTCCCACTTGAAAATGCAAGAGCAGCAGCAGCCGAATAAAAAGGGGACCTGTCACCCATTGGCAAACAGTCCCTTCCATCTGCAGTGGGTGTCAGAAAAATTCCAAGATTTGGTTACGAGATCTGTGCCGGAGAAGTTGTGAGAGCAGAGAGGATGGAAAGTAAGCCCCCAGGGATTCTCTGTCTCGCTTTGACTGCCTTGTGCCTGACCGTTCTCATTTTTTAGTTAGGGTTTATTTCTACTCCAAATTCCTATCCAGAATTAGAGCATGATTTGTGATAAGTAATCAGCGCCTAAATTCTTTTCCAAGCCTCTGGGCTTATTCCATTTACTGCTCCCTTTCCTTTCACATAGCGAAAAATCTAGTTGTGCAATGCTGAAAGTGTATATTATTTATAACTAGCAGTGGGTGACTTCTTCCTCTTGAGAACTGCACAAATAGGTAGCTGATGCCCTTGGGCAGTAGAAGAGAGACCACCAGTAAAGCCAGCCCCGGTACAGGCAGCCTCCTGGTGCAACCTTAGAAAGGACCAGGAATACATGTAGCCTTCAAGGTTCTGTTTCTGGAGGCAGGGAAAGCTTGTCCAAGAAAGCCCCAGACTAGTTGAAAAACCACTGTGAGAGTGACCAGTAGCAGGAGTGACCCACCAAGCATGGTAGCCCTCATACCAGGAGAGCCATGGTGCCCAGAGGTACCTAGTACTCTGTCCTAAGACCAGAAAGGTCAAGGAAGAAAGTGATAAAGCTTACCCAAGTAACAGACTCTCTGAAAATTAGGGAACAAACAGCAAGGAATATTAGAACAAAATCAAAAGACTGAAAACAAACTAGAAGAAAACATTAAGTTATCTCCTATTAAAGAAAAAAAAACTGACCTGGAAAACAGGTCAAGGAGAGATAATGTAAGAATCATCTGGACTTGCTGGAAACTGAAACTGTGAACAAAGAAAAGGTGTGGATACCATATTCCAAGAAATCATAAGTGAAAACTGCCCAGATCACTTAGAACCAGAGGTCAAAGTAAAAGTAGAAAGAACCTACTAATCATTTCCTAAAAGAAATTCTGAAATGAAAATTACCAGGAGGGAGGATAATACCGAGAAGGGAAGAGTCTCAAGCAAAATAAACATGGTAACCTTGGAGGGGAGGATTAAAAGGAAAAAAAAGAAATTAATTGGAAACTAAGGGAGTACCCATCCATTGGGGAATGGCTGGACAAATGGTGGTATAGCAATGTCACGGAGGATTATTGTGCTGTAAGAATCCTGCTGAACATAGTGAAGGCAGAACCAGGAGCACGTTTTGTACTAGGACAACAACATTATAAAGAAAAAACAACTTTGAAAGACTTAAGATCTGTGCTAAATGCAGTCACCAGCTCTGTCTTCAGTGACTGTGATGAACTATGTCACCCACCTCCTGACAGAGAGGCGATGAATGGACTTAGGTGTGGAAAGAGACATACATTTTTGTACATGGCCACTGTGTGGATTCATTTTGCTTTTTCCCTCCTCCTTTTTCTGTTTTTAATTGGAGAAGGATTAAGAGTGAGTTAGAAATAGTAATACCAAAAAAAGAGGGCCATTGACACATTTCAGAAATTCAGAAAAGCCAACAGAAGGGAGTTGAGAAGGAAGCACAGACAAGCTGTACGTACAGTTTTGAAAGTAACGTTGTAATTATTATTACCTTTTTAAAAAAGCAAGTGATATGAAATGGAAATTCAGTTTCCTATGCAATATGGTTTTTTGTGTGTGTTCTGCTGTATATATGGAAAATGCTTCTTTTTTGCTGTTTAGAATTTTTTAAATTTGAAAAAGGAAAAGAAGTAATGTGAGACTGTGTAGGCTGTAGATAGATCTAATATTTCTACTTTAGTTGCTTGAGGAGAAACCAAGGTTATGAGTGAATGCTTAGACAGAAATAAAAATTTGGCATGGTGAGAGTAACAATATTATTTTTGAAGGCTTTTTTTCTAGTTTTATAGTCCAGAAAAATCGTCCTGTCCCCAAGGAATACCCATATTATCCTACAATATGCATTTTTATCCCTTTTATTTTTCTGGATTTTTCTAACATCAGCTTTGTCAGTTGTTTTACACATGAAGCCCCTCCCCCAAATTATAAAAGCTTCTAGTCTGGATCCTTTAGCAGCAATCTTAGCACTGGAGGGGGAGGGGCAAGTTACATCCTTTTATCAGTTGTTATACTGGTTTAATAGAACGTGCTATGCTCTGTGAGCAAAGCAAAATTGAAGTAGCTGGAAAGGAACGCAAGGTGTGCAGATTTAGAGAATCCGCTCCAAATGTCCAGGTGGACTATCCGTGCCCAGCCTGTGGGTAGAGCATTCCGAGCTCGTATTGGTCTGATCAGCCACAGTCTGACGCACCGAAATTTGACTCTAATAGTGATGTCATTTTGGTCTTTCTCAAGAACGAAGGACAACCACCACCATGAGCACCACCACCTCATGGTGTTGGCAGAAGTAATCTGAGAAAGGTCTGCAGTGGAATTCTACCACAAATCTGCCCTCAAAATGGCACCTGTGCTTAGGGCATAGCAAGTCTTGATGAATAATGTGATTTAAAAGGCCCCAAACCTATGAAGGTTCAACTTCCAGGCCCTCCTATCACACCTCTTATCATGTGTCTCCATTATTTTCTTTTCCCTTTAGTACACCATGTTTTATTGCTAAAAAATATGAGATTAAGGAACAGTGTTTCTTCAGAGAATGCAAGCTGTTGTAATCCTTACCCTTGCCTTCGATAGTAAGTAAAATGACTGTCACTCTGTACAGGATGGGTTGGATAGAGAACCAAGCTGGAATCAGGAAACTAAATGTGAGGAATCTCTTCGCCCCTTCTAAGCCTGATTTTCTTACATTTTAATCAGCCAGTGTTTAGCATACAAGTCTCATCTTTACCGGGCTGTCTGTTAATTCTGGTTGGGTTCATTTGGGTTTGTTTGATTGGTTTTTTGTAGTTGAAATCAAGTGACTTTGATGTCCTGAAGAAGCTGGTGCCTCTGCTAGAAGAGGTGTCCTGCACGTACCCAGAGCCTGTCATTCAAGAACTTGCCACCGATCTCCGCATCACCATCTGTACCCACGGTGCCTTCTCCACTGATGCAGTCAGCGCGGCTGCGGAAGCCACAGTGAAGACCAAAGATCCAGGAGGGGGCAGGACGGAGGGACAGCCTCATATCAAACCTCAGAGTAGTTCTGAGGTTGATGTGGTCCAGACACAGTCGGACCAGCAGCCCCAGCGCGAGAAAGCCAGCCACACAGAGAGCCCCTCTGCCGCTCCACCCACGTCCCCCGAGGCCCAAGGAGTGAGCCCCAGGCAGCAGCGCGTCTCGGCCGAGAGTTCCAGTGCAAACCGGAGGCCCAGATGCGCCACCCCAGAACAGTTTCAGGAGGTTCTCTTGTCAGCCTACGACCCTGAAATTCCAACACGGGCTGCTGCCTTGAGGACCCTTTCCTGCTGGATAGAACAAAGAGCTCCCCAGGCACTTAAGACCCAGGAGAAGCTTCTGAAGGTGAGCAGAGCACACTCTAGAAACCATCCAGGCAGGGGAGGGTGGCTTGAAAACCACTTCAGTTGAATTCCACAAACATTTATTAAGCACTTACTATGGGCCAGTCCAAAAGAATAGGCCTTCGTCCTCAAGTGCCCTCCATTCTGAAGGGGCTTGGGGAGCCACAGCATGTAAGCAAGGAGGATAGCACAGTAAACTGAAGAGGGAGAAAGCACTAAGAAATTGGGGAAATTGGGAAAGGTTTCATTTCGACAAGGATTGATTGACTGTCCCACTGAACTTGGACTGGACACTTGGGTGGGCTTCTTACTTCATCAGTATGGGATACAAATGGAAATCCCTTTGATCCTGGGTAGCTCTTGGTCGTGTTGTCCCATGGATCCTCCATATAGATTCCAGTCAGTGCAATGGAGACCTCCCTTTGGTTCTCTTAATATTTGGGGACACAAGGACTTCACTGGGCTTTCCCATCTGTTACGGCATCTTCCTGCTGTAAGACTGACCCAGCACCTCCTTTTGGGGTTGGATAGATCCTCTGTGGTGTCTTTTATGTTAGGCTCTCATAGCAGACAGATGACATGCTTTTGACAGGCTTATAATTGTGGAACTAAGACCTACACACACGAGCCAGTTTGATAATTCTTTTTTTTTTTTAAACTGGACTTGTGACTTTGTTGGCATAGGGAACTAACTCCCCTTCCCAAGGCAGATTGGCTGCTGTTCTTCAGCCTGTGATCTTAGAGAGTTGCCTATGCCAATGAGTGTTTAGGTGACCTGCCCGGGGTCATACAACCTAGATGTGCCACAGGCTGGACTTGAACCCAGCTCTTCCTAACTGTCGGACTAGCTCACTAGTCTTTGTGCCCTACTGCCTTATTAGAGAGTGAGGCAGTTCAGTTAAACTCAGTCATAGTGTCCACATGTGTAGACTAGGTAACAAATGCTCCGGAGCATCAGTGCTGTTGACTCTAGGCTTTGGAAATTTGGAAGGAGGAGTTAGGATTTGGAAGGTGAAGAGAAAGGGTGTTCCGGACAGACAGCAGGAGCAGAAGTGCACAGGCAAGGGGAGACCCTTTTGTGATAGATGACTCTAATTTTAATAAAACCTTTTGCTGTGAATAAAAATTGCCCCTTCTACGGCCCTCCTGCCCCCTTTCACGCCCCTGCTCTTTGGAGCAGTGTGGGACAGAGCTGGGAAGTGTCCTGTGTTGTCCCTGATCTCATCATCCAGGGGATCTGTGATGCTCTGGAGGCTGGAGGGCGTGCCCCTCACAGTCCCTCACCAATCAGGGGGAGAAAAAGTGACTTTGAATTGTGCATTTGTTAGTTTAGGGACACAACCCAATTGTCTTCTTTGCTGAGTGTTTCCCTGGCAACATATGTCCCTCTTCCATTTACCTTCCCATGGGGCTAAGAATCACATTAGTACTAACTAGTGTTAGTCAGAAACTGGTCACCTTTTTAAGCGTTTCGACCAAGAAAGTGCAGGTAACATTCTGTCACTCAAAGCTGATAACATTCTTCTCAGCTCCTTTGGGATAAGCATGAAACAAAATGTCTCCACTTGTCATGAGCTCAGCTGCCACCGGTGATGACAGTGTCACAGTACTGATGACTTTATTCCTTTGTCTGTTTTACTGTCACTTTCCTATCAATATGTAATGGCATCACCAGTGATTTCATTCATTTCAACAAATTATTAAGTGCCCACCTGTGCCAAATACCAGGGGCGCGGAGCACACTGTGTCTGGCCTCAAAGGGCTTACCTTCCACTCCAGACAGTTTTGTTTTTCCTGCTCCAGAACCAGAAATGGGTTATCTTGCTAACAAAGGAAGGTGGGAGAGCTTTTGTTTATTAAATTTAAAAATTGGACTCCAAACTTGCATTTTGTTTATTTTACAATGCTCTAGAACTTTTATAGACTTCCTGGACCCATTGTCTAGAAAAGAGAAAAAGAAGAAAACTAGCCCTAGGAGGACTTGAGTTCAAATCCGGCCTCAGACACTTGACATTTACTAGCTGGGTGACCCTGGGCAAGTCACTTAACCCCATTGCCTAGCAAAAATGAATGAATGAATGAATGAATGAATGAACTAACAAATGAACAAACAAACAAACAAATAAATAAATAAATACATAAGTGAATAAAAGAAAACTAATCATTGTGTTGAAATGGCTGGTATAGGTCTCATAAGTTTTGCCTGTTCTTTGTACATTAAGGCTGCTGTGTTTTGTGATTTCAGGTATTTTTAGAGAATATGGAGCATGAAGACACCTTTGTGTATTTGTCTGCTATTCAAGGTAAGTTAGTCCTGGTAAAAGGCATTTTATTATTATTATATTTCCTCTGGTGTTTTGTTCATATTTTCAAGAATTTGTGTTTGCCAAGAGTTTTGTGTTCATAGGCTCATAGTTCCATAGTTTATCCATCATACCGTAGACTTCCTCCTGCCAAGTAGGCGACACTCCCTTTTACTTGAGTACTCTAATGGATGTGTTCTCTCCAGTGAAGTAGGCAGCAGCCCCTCTATCATGCCTATTCTGTGGCTGCTTCTCTGGTCCATGTCCTCCCAGATCCCCCTACAGGGGTCTGCCCAGTGTGCTGGAAGCCTTCCTGCGTTTTTCTTGATGTTAAGAGGGTATCAGTGGAGGGCTTTGGCTGTACACCTGTCATTCCTTACCCATCTTCTCTTCCTGTCATGTGTTTCCATGCTGACATCTTTTTCTCTTTATCCTACAAGTTCTTCAGTGGTTATATTTTGCAGCCTGCTCTCACCCATTATGTTTCTCTCCGTTCCTTTCTGTGTGATACTCATTTTTAATTCTTCCAGAGGCAATATTTCATGTCTCACTCATACAGCAAAATCCCACATGGGTAGAATATTAGTATTTCAAAGATGAACTTTTGTTTCCGTGGGAAGTTTGGGGTCATTGATGGAGCTTTGTAATTTCCCAAAGGCAATTCAGCCCTCTCTTCTCCTGTTCAGTTCCAGGCCCAACTTGTTGTCCCTCAGCCCTTTTTGTCCCAGATACAGGTTGCCCTTCTAAATGTATGTCAAAACTGGGCAGTGGGTATTCTTCATCCAGTTGGTCATTCTGTGTGGATGGATGATTAGTCCAAACTTAAATTCTGAGTGGCTGTAAGTCTCATCCAGGAGACTCTGAATTGTTCCAGTGCTTCATTGTTTTTTTTCAGAATAATTGTGTTTCTTCTTTAATTATATATAAGTAGACATTTGTTTCAAAAAATTGCTGAAAATCTTTCCTTGTTTTTGAGCAGCTAGCTAAGAAAGGAATTTTCTCTGGGTTAGCTGGAGCACAACTAGATTCATAACTAATTAATTTAAAGGTCCACTATATGTGTATGATGTATGTATATACGTGTATATGTGTGTGCACATTATGTATATATGCATATATATACACACATATAGACATGAAAGAACAGAAATAAAAAACTTAATCTCCACTAATCAACTCACTGATTCAACTTAGAGTGCTAACCAGAAGAATAGAATTGTCAGATATTCCTATACAAGGATTTCTGAGCTAATGGTGGAGACAAGTTATTTGGGTAAAACACTGCAAGCAGTTGCTTCATCTGCTGGTACAATGTTATCCACAAACAGGAACATCTGGAGGACGCCACCGTCCGTAGATAATCCCTCTTCAACTTGCACTCTGCTCTGGATCTTCTCCATCATCGATTACTGAACACACTTTGCAAGCTAAACCCAGTTTTATACCTCTCCTGATATTTATGATCGAAAGGGCAATGAATGAGATTATTTTTGTTTTATTTCTTTTAAGGAATCTTGAATTATTTTGATGTATAGATGGGATAAACCTTGTTCCAAAAGAGTCTTTAAGGCAACATTTTGCTCTACTAAATAGAATGTTTTTTTATAATCAAAAAAGTTAACACAATGGGATCTTATATTCTAGGCAGTCAGGTGTGAAATGGCAAAGACATAGTCCTTTGGTGAACATTGATTACAAAAGCCTGCCTCCTTCCCTGCTAATGTGTATTTATGTATAAAAGGAATCGCATAACAGTTTTCTGTAGATGAGAGAGCTGGCAGATGCATCAGTAGTCATTGATGTTTTTTCCCAGTCTTCATTTTTTGGTATTCATGAGGTCCAAAATTCATTCCATGCTTTATATAGCTTACCCTCCTTCAGCTACTTCTCATATTGATCTGTTAGCACAATTGTCTCACAGTTATCTTCTCCTGCATGGACTTTCTTTGTGTATACTTGGTCCAGTTTGGCTACTTTTCCCATTTTTATTCCCTTTGGTGCCATTATTGTCCCTCTGAGAAAAATATACATAATACTGTAAAGTTAGGGACCATGTTAGTGTATAAGACACTCTCCTTAAATTATTTCAACAATAATTTCAGAAGGACTACAGAGGAGTAAATTCTACCATCTCCTTCAGTGTCTTACAGTAATAAAGAAGGCTTTCTTTGTACTTAATTGTTTAATAAGTCACTAGATCAAGCCTATTTACACAGTTCAGCAGCAATATCAACAACTCATACCTCTGACCAGCTTATACTAACTCACCCACGTCTCTTATGGGGGAATGGCAACCCAGAAAGGATTGAGGAGAAGCTCTCAGATTATAATCTGTTTTGTACCTCATTCAGCTAGTGAGGGAAATCTTGATTGCAAGCAGTAGGAGGTGGGGGTGGGGGGAGAGGAAGGAAAGCAGACACCTGGTGCTCTTGGAAGAAAAAAGGAAAAGAGCTGATAGAAAGCTAGCTTGGAGAAGATTCCAGGGGCTTACAAAGGGGGGAGGACTCCCCCCTCCAAATTCAGGGAGGCTCCATCAGCTCCCTAGGTCCAGTCCGTGGGAGAACTAGGGGGCCTCCTTCGTCTATGATAGGGGGAAAGACTACCTGTCTAACATCTCAAACTGGGATTTGGATCCACTTTCTCATAGAAATTTCATGGTGGTGATAGTTAAATTCTGTAGTACTATGGGCATAGTGTTATATTTCAGGTGCCTCATAGGTTAAAGTGGCTTTAATGGGCCAGCCTAGGAGCCTAACCACTGTGTATAACATGGTTTCTATGGAAACTTTTGGAGCACAGTCTGTTCATTGTTTGGAGACTTGTCTGTATGTGATGTCTTTATACAGTGTCCTCGCAGACACCTGAATAGTATTAATCCATTTCTCAGATTTCTTTTCAGGCCAAAGACGTTCAAATCTTACAGTCCTTTTTTTTCCCCATTGATTGGATGTTTTGACTGTTTAGTCATTTGGTCTCCTGAATCCATTTCTTATTCTCCACCTTCCCATTAGTTTGTGTGCCCATACTGCCTGAACTTTAATCTTCCGTTAGGGGCCTTAGGAGAGGGCACAGCACAGTGAGGGCTTTATCTAAGAGGGCCTACAAAATATACTTTCATTTGTTTTTCTCCCCAGTATATCATGACCTTTTAAAAAAAGTTAACACCTCATTCTTAAAGTCAGGTATGTTTTAAGTTTCTGTGATTTTTCTTCCCCAGGGTGCCTTTTACCTTCGTGGTTATTAATCTTTCCTTCTGCTAGTATTATTTGTTAACTTTTTGTTTGTTTGTTTTTTAGGCAGTTGGGCTTAAGTGACTTGCCCAGGGTCACACAGCTAGTAGGTGTCAAGTGTTTGGTCTGAATTCGGATTTGAACTCAGGTCCTCTTGACTTTAGGGCTGGTGCTTTATCCACTGCGCCACCTAGCTGCCCGTTTTTGTTAACTTTTATAAAGGAAAAAAACAACATTTACTACCTGTTTGACCCTGGGCAAGTCACTTAATCCCTATCGCCTCACCAAAAAAAGAAAAAAAAAAGGATATAAACAATGTACTAGTTAAAAGCTGGTCAGGACCTAGAATGAGCTGGGTGGTTGAAACTTGTCTTTGGTAGAAAGCTTACATTTACACTAATTTCTCCTTGCTTTGTCACTATTCTGGGATTGCAGAGCAATAGTAGTGATTTGTGCTGCCCTTTTAGATCTATTGCAGAGTGAGAAATCATTTGACCACTTTTTATTTGGTAGACCTTATCATGGGCATTCTGTCACCCTGTTAGGCCTAGATAGGCTAATGTCTTATGGTCAGATATACAATCAATCAATCACCATTGCTTAAGTACCTGCCTGGCACTATGGTAAAGGCCAAGGATACAAAAAGAGGCCAAAGACAGTCCCTGCTTTCAAGGACCTTGCAATTTAATGGGGGAGATAATATGCAAACAAATATTTACAAAGCAATCTACTTACGAGATACATAGGAAATAATTGACTGAGGGAAGGCACAAGAATTAGGAGGAGTTGGAAGACCACCCACAGAAGGTAGGATTTTAGTTGGGACTTAAAGGAAGCCTGGGAAATCAGTACTCAGAACAGAGGAGGAAGAGAATTCTAGGTATGGGAGAACAACCAGAGAGAATGTCCAGAGCCAAGAGATGGAGGGTCTTTAATGGAATAACCAGGAGACCAGTGTCACTGGATGGAAGAATATGTGGTGGGGGGTAAGGTGTAAGAGGGGGCTGGGTTCTGAATGGCTTTGAATACCAAGCAGAGGATTTTGTAGTTGTTCCCAGAGGCAATAGGGAGCCCCTGGAATCTATTGAGTAGGGGGGTGACATAGTCAGACCGGGGCTTTAGGAAAATCACATTAGTGGCTGAATGGAGGATGAACTGGAGTGAGAAGAGACATGTGGTAGGTAGCCCACTGACAACCATGGCAGTAGTCCAGGTGTGAGGGGGTGAGGGCTTGCCCTGGGGTGGAGGCAGTGTCAGAGGAGGGAACGGGCATATTCAAGAGCTGTTACAAAGGTGAAACCAAAGCTAGGGGCCTTGACAGCAAATTTGATAATTGAGGAGGGGGAGAATGAGAGATAGCAGGCAGGCCAGGATGACTCCTAGGTTGTGAGTCTGAGGGATGGCAGGATGGTGTTGCCTTCTACAGTCACAGAGAAGGTAAGAGGGGGGAGGATTTAGGGAGAAAGATAATGAGTTCAATTTTAGACATATTGAGATTAAGCTTTCTACTGGACATCCAGTTGGAGATGTCTGAAAGGCAACTGGAGATGCAGGATTGGAGGGCAGCAGAGAGATTGGGGCAGGGAAGATAGATCTGAGAATCATTAGCGTAAAGATAGTAATTAATTCCATGGGAGCTGATGAGATTCCCAAGTGAAGTAGTATGGAGGAAGATGAAGAGAAGGCCAAGACAGACCTCTGTGGGACACCTATGGTTAAAAGGCATAGTCTGAAGTAAGATCCAGCAAAGGAGACTGAGAAGGAGTGGTC